TGTCCATATCCCGCTGTTGGTTATTGACCGGAGAGGCGTCTCGGTCATGTCTGCATGTCTCCCAAACCCGTAGGGTCTACACACTTAAGGTTCGATGACGCTAGGGTTGTAGAGATATTAGTATGCAGTAACTCGAAAGTTGTTCGGAGTCCCGGATGAGATCCTAGACGTCGCGAGGAGTTATGGAATGGTCCGGAGGTAAAGATTTATATATAGGAAGTCCAGTTTCGTCCATCGGGAAGGTTTCGGGGGTCACCGGTATTGTACCGGGACCACCGGAAGGGTCCCGGGGGTCCACCGGGTGGGGCCACCTATCCCGGAGGGCCCCATGGGCTGAAGTGGGAGGGGAACAGCCCTAGGTGGGCTGGTGCGCCCCCCTTGGGATTCCCTGCGCCTAGGGTTGGGGAACCCTAGTGGTGGGGGCGCCCCACTTGGCTTGGGGGGCAAGCCACCCCCCTTGGCCGCCGCCCCCCTCTAGATGGGATCTAGAGGGGCCGGCGCCCCCCCAGGGCCCCTATATAAAGAGGGGGGAGCGAGGGCTGCGCACCCTAGCCCCTGGCGCCTCCCTCTCCCTCCCGTAACACCTCTCCCTCTCGTTGGTGCTTGGCGAAGCCCTGCCGAGACCCTTCTGCATCCACCACCATGCCGTCGTGCTGCTGGATCTCCATCAACCTCTCCTTCCCCCTTGCTAGATCAAGAAGGAGGAGACGTCTTCCCCAACCGTATGTGTGTTGAGCGCGGAGGTGCCGTCCGTTCGGCGCTAGGATCATCGGTGATTTGGATCACGATGAGTACAACTCCATCTACCCCGTTCACTTGAACGCTTCCGCTCGCGGTCTACAAGGCTATGTAGATGCACTCCTATTCCCCTCGTTGCTAGAATACTCCATAGATTGACCTTGGTGATGCGTAGAAAATTTTAAATTCTGCTACGATCCCCAACAGCCTCCGGTTAATAGGTTAGTCCGAAAAATAATATAAAAGTGAAAAATAAAGCCCAATATAGTCCAAAACAGTAGATAATATAGCATGGAGAAATAAAAAATTATAGATACGTTGGAGACGTATGAAAATGTTCATCAAATTATGTCCGTGAATTACCTTATATTTTGATTAGAAATTTGGTAAGTAAATTAAAGTAAAATTGGTTGAGAAGTTAAATAAATTAAGGTGACTGATTATCATATACACGAAAGGTTGGACAAAGGGGTCATGAAAAAAAGGTGAAATGTGAACCTTACATTCTTTTTAAGTAGTAGAGATAGAGAATAATTGGGAAAAGAGAAAGGTATATATCAATGGGCGATGTTAGGCGCCGGTGCGCCGGCCCAAATTTGGGCCGGTCGCCCCGCAGCCGTATGATTTAAGCGCTCGTGACCATACGATTTTACTAGTTGTGCCCTCGCACATGTCTTCTCGGGTCCTTTGCGTGCTCTGTAGCCTCCCCACGGTCTCTTAAATCTCCATGCGCTTGCCCGCCTCGCTGTCGTAGCTCGCCGCGGCCGCTCGCCATCGCCGCTTGCCGCTGCAGCTCGCTGGGGCCGCTCTCCGTCGCCGCTTGCCGGAGCCGCTCGCCGCTGCAGCTCGCCGGGGCCGCTCGAAACCAATCCGTCTCTAGCGCCTCCCCGCACGCACCACCAGCCGCACACGTCTCCGGCCACGGTGGCGGCACCCTCCGCCACATGCCGCACCCACCGCTGCCTCGTTCGTCATCCGCTGCTAGCATCCTCTGTCGCCGGTTGCAACTTTTTCCATCGGGGATGTAGCATTTGTGCCGGACGGTTCCAGCAAAAAAACACTAGTTCTGCGCACCAACAAATCTCCCCACTGCTGGTTTTAGCTTCTCCTGCTGTTGGTTGCAGCTCTTGTGGAAGCTGGTTCCAGCAAAAATGGCTGCCGGTTAAAGCTTCTGCCATGGCTGTCGTTGTAGCAGGTTTCTAGCTAGTGCCTCGCATGCTCCCGCGTCTGTAACAAATTGGTCAGCCGGATCCAGCAAAACAGACTGCCGGTTCCAACATTTTTGGCGCCGTTGCCCGGCGTGCTCCGTTGTCCGCAACAAATTGGTCGGCCGCTTCTAGCAAAATAGATCGCCGGTCAGAGCTATTCTCGTTGCTGGTTGCAACACACCGCGCCGACGGATCGAACTCCCTCGAGTCCTGTTGCAGCATCCACACACACTGGTTCCAGCTCCCTGCTTGAAGGTTGAAGCAAAAACAGGGCGCGGTTCCAGTACACGGCGGCGTCGGGCATGGTGATGCCGGTGGTAGCAAAAATTCTCATCCTTTGTAGCAGACTACTTTGTCGATTGTAGCACCGTTGGTGAGGATGCTCTCAGCCGACCGCTCCCATGGATGCAGCCGCAGTGCTCATGGCCATCTTCAGTCTCCAGTCCGTCGCTGTGGGTTGGTTCCCCGCAGCAGTGCCCGGGTCACCTGGGCTTGGGCAGCAGCAATTTCAGGGGTCACAACATCTGGCCGGAGTGAAGGAGATGGAAGCATGGTTGGGCGGTGGCCATTGCTATGTGGGCGAGCCGGCCATGAGGGCATCTCCAGCCGTTGGCCCCCCAGGACGCATAAAAATCGCCCCCTGGGGGCGAGCCGGCGATACATTCGGCGCTGGGGGCGGTTTTGCGCCCAGTCGTCGCCCTCAGGCGCTGAAATTGGCCCACTTTGCAACCCAATTTCGGCGAATAAACGGCACATATGGGCGAGAATAGGCCCATATTCAGCGTGGTTTCGCCGTGTCTCGGCATTCAATTATCAACACAATTATTTCTTAGCACATATTTCATCACAGAAAAATCAAATACTTCAACAAAATACTACAACAACAAATAGTTCAATACAAATTATATTGTTCAACAAATAAAAACTCGTATTTCATCACGAGGCGTCCCCCTTGAGCCTCCATAGGTGCTCAATCAGATCTTTCTGCAGTTGATGATGCACCTGTGGGTCTCGGATCTCCTGACGCATATTGAGATAGGCAGTCCAAGTTGCCGGTAGCTGGTGATCAACTTCGGCTAGAGGACCCTGCCTGTAGTATGGTTCAGTGTCAAACACTGGGTCTTCTTGCTCGCTCTCGATGATCATGTTGTGCAAGATGACACAGCAAGTCATGATCTCCCACATTTGATCTTTCGACCAGGTCTGAGCGGGGTACCGAACAACAGCGAATCGAGATTGGAGCACACCAAATGCCCGCTCGACATCCTTCCTGCAAGCCTCCTGAAGCTTCGCAAACCAGGCGTTCTTGCCTCCTGCCACAGGGTTTGAGATCGTCTTCACAAATGTCGACCATCTCGGATAGATGCCGTCAGCTAGATAGTACCCCTTGTTGTATTGGTGCCCATTGATCTCGAAGTTCACCGGAGGAGAATGGCCCTCAACGAGCTTGCCAAAAACAGGAGAGCACTGCAGCATGTTGATGTCATTGTGAGTTCCTGGCATATCAAAGAAGGAGTGCCAAATCCAGAGGTCCTGTGTGGCTACCGCCTCAAGCACCACACTGCAACCGCCTTTGGCGCCTTTGTACATCCCCTGCCAACCAAATCGGCAGTTCTTCCATTTCCAATGCATGCAGTCGATGCTTCCAAGCATCCCAGGAAATCCTCTTGCTGCATTCTGGGCTAGGATCCGAGCAGTGTCTTCCACATTGGGTGTTCTCAAGTATTGTGGCCCAAACACTGTCACCACTGCCCGACAGAACTTGTAGAAACACTCTATGCTGGTGGACTCGGCCATGCGCCCATAGTCGTCGAGTGAATCACTAGGAGCTCCATATGCAAGCATCCTCATCGCTGTCACGCACTTCTGGATGGAGGTGAATCCAAGAGCGCCAGTGCAATCCATCTTGCACTTGAAGTAGTTGTCGAACTCCCGGATGGAATTCACAATCCTGAGGAAGAGCTTTCGGCTCATCCGATAACGGCGCCGAAATGTTCTCTCGCCATGAAGTGGAGCATCGGCGAAGTGGTCGGTGTAGAGCATGCGGTAGCCTTGCAGACGATGCCGGTTCTTTGCTTTCACCCGCCCCGGCGCCGAGCCACCTCGCCGCGGCTTTTCACTGCTCGCCAGCAGCTGGGCGAGGGCGGCGAGCACCATCAGATGCTCTTCTTCCTGGACGTCGGCCGCGGCTTCCTCCTCCAGCAGCGCGGCGAGCTCTTCCTCCTCGTCCGAGTCCATCGCCGAGACGGGCAAATCGCCGAACACCTTGCGCTCGATGGCCGTGAACCCGCCGTTAAACCGCGCCTCCGCGGCCGGAAACTGCGACCGGAAACGCCCAGCTGTTGCGGGAGGGGCTGCCGCGGCGAAGCGCTGCTATTTTCCGGCGGGGAATGGCTATCTAGCGGAGTCGGGCGGCGGCCGTCGCCGGGATACAGCTAGTGGTGGCCGAGGGCGCGGGGGGTGCGAGGCGAGTCGGGGATGAAAACCTTGACTTTTCCCCTGGCGGTGTGGGACAGGCGTGCTTTTCCCTAGCGCCGGAGCCCCCAACGGCTCCCCAGCGCGCCGGGTTCGGCCTGTGACCGCCGGGTTCGGCCTGTGACCGCCGGGTGGAAAAAAGGTCCGAACCGGCGATTTTCGGCGTCCTGGGGACGCGACTGGGCCGTTTTTTCAGCGCCGACGCCGAAAAAGTGGCCTGGAGGGGCCTGTTGGGGGCGCGACTGGAGATGCCGTGAGAGATAGGGGAAAAGAGATGGGAAGTTGTGGCTGTGGCGCTCCGCATGAGGATAAGAAAGAAAAAATGGGTGGTTGGTGGGCCTAGTGGGTTGCGTGGCTTGCATAGGGTCAGGCGCGTGTTTTCTGCTGCGAGTCCGACTAGCGAGCGAGCACGTTTACCTATATCAATTGGGCCGGTTTGGTTTTGTGTTTACACTCGTGCGTGGGCTGGTTTTACGGACGACGGGTGACGAACGAAGCGGAGGTTTATCCCCTCTCGGCCCGAGCCATGCCATCCATCCTCCGGTTTCCCCAGATCCGGCGACAATCTCGGGGCACGCCATGACCTCCTCCAACCAGCCGCCCGCCACGACGAACCTGGAGGCGCCGGCGCCGGTACCCAAGGTGAAGGCAGCAGCGGTGGTGACCCAAAACCCTAGCTCCCCCAGCGGCCCGCCGTCGCCGGAGATGGAGGCCACGGCGGAGGCGCTCACGCGGGAGGAGGTGCTGCGCCGGAGGCGGCGCCGCGCCGCGCGGCTCCTTGCCGCGTACCGCCGGCTGTACTGGGCCATGGCAGAGGAGGTGCGCGCCCGGCACCGGCAGTACGTCTGGGAGCTCGGCTGCAGCCCGCTCGAGGCCGAGCAGCCGCTTCCGGCCACGGCATCGGAGGCGAAGCCTGCCCCGGCAGCGGTGCCGAGGAGGAAGAAGTGTGGCATAACAGGGTGCAAGGTGCGGGCGATGGCCATGGCCAAGTACTGCCACTACCACATCCTCTCCGATCCCAATCAGGTACTCTACAAGGGTTGTGGCCACATCATGGTCAAGAGTGGTGCACAGATTGGGAAAAGTACTCACAACACGCCCATCCTGAAAGCATCAGTTCCCTCCCTCTGCAATGTTCACTTGCAAAGATCTCAGAAGAATATATCTCAAGCTTACAAGATAGTTGGCTTTAATCCACCGCCCACCGGTCAAATCTCCCCGGATTTCAGTGTCTTGGTTGCCGAATGTGTCCGTCAGATCCAGGCTACAAGGAGAGAGTCCCGAAGTGCCACGGCAGGGAAGAAATAGCCCAAAGATGGGAAACGTAGCTGAGCTATTCCTTTAGATAAGTTTTGTTATATAAACTGTATGAAAATGTCAGGCACCCTGAGGTTTATCTGGTAGTGAATTAGTTAGAATGGTGTGCGAGTAGATGGATGGTTTTTCCTTAGTAGCGACTAGCGATTAATCATTTTTCAAATGTTCATATATATATATTCTCTGAACAAAAAGGAACCAGAAGCATCCTCCAAAAACTTCAGGCCATACATTGTATGTGGTACACTGTTCAATTAATAAGAGCTTTTTGGTCCTCTCAATGGAATTGTGTGCAGCTAAATCAACTACTAGCAATTTCAACCGGTATTGCATAAGGACAATTAAGAATGAGATTTTTTTTTTGAGAGAGAGAGAGAGAGATAAATGAAGAATGAGATGACCTGGAGATTCTACTGTAATCGCCGGACACATCCTTTTGCTTGGCAAGTGATCTGCTGTGGCATGTACCATTATCGTGTCTATTGTTTTCACTTTGGATGGAATTAATTGATCAGGTGAGAATATATAGCAGCACCTCTGTTTTCCCGTGCTATATCATGAGTGCACATCATGAACTAGCCAGTCTTAATTGTACGCTTCCCTTCTGTATGAGACTGCCAGTACAATTTTGCAATTTCATCTCGATATAAATATTACATGTGCTGATTTCTGCTGTGCTTTTACTAAACGGAAATTAAAATCTTGTACCGGATTGATCAGGTTATTATGTAACTGGGAATCAGGTGCTCCCATGTATGATATTCTTGCTTTTTGCGGCATCCTTTTGTGTGTGTGTGTGTGTGTGTGTGTGTGTTTGGGAAATTAAAACATGGATGTTTGGAGACTTGAAGTTACCAATGGCTTTTGTTTGTTTGTATATGTAGATCGACTAAGGACTAGAGGCGATCACAAGTATTAGTATGTAGTATTACGCAACCACACCCTTTACAAACCAATAACCAGCAATTAATGCTTTTCTACTGTGTTCCTGTACTCTAGAAAAGAACTAACTATATATCTATCTAGCAATATAGCTGGAAGTTGCTACCTTCTTAATTTGACCAAAGGCTTCTGGTCCTCAATGAAATTAGATTAATTGTGCAGCTAAAGTAACTTCCCGAAAATGTTGCTTAATTAGCACCATGGTGCACCCGAACCTACACTCACTGCCATACGTCGTCTGACAACCTTTTCGAGATACAAGCTAATTAAATTGTTTCAGGAACCATGCACAAGTGATCAAGAGACCTATAAGATGCTAATCAGTCTACTAAATTTGAATTCGTATGTGTTAAAAAATTCAACATCCTGGAGTTCTGGTACATTCTCCAATGCTTTATTTTATCATTTTATTTCTGGTCCCTCATTCTGTGTAGAGCAGGTTCATTTACATTTGCGGCATTTGTAGCAGCAGGCTCATTTACTAAAACTATTGAAAAACGTAAATATTTCATGGATTTTTACAAAAATTACCCATGCACAAGTGATCAATTTTTTTAAAAATCTGCAACGATTTATAGATAAATCATGGTCTCCGCCAAGTTCTTCTCGTGGACTGGACTGGCACTGCATCTTAGGGTTGTGTGTCAGTTTAATACAATACTGTGAAAAAATGGATCCGAGCAGGCCTAGTAGAAGAATCATTTTAGCTGATGGTTAAGCAAATAGGGTTTGCACACATTAACTTGCACAGATCCTCAGGAAAACAGAAATGAATCCGACCGTGCTGAGCGTAGGTTCGGGTGCACCATGGTCCAGAAAATCAGCTCTCAGTAACTTCCACACTCTTGCTAGCAAGCCGCGGCAGTGCAATGTATGCTTCCGACGAAATGAGTATCATATCATACAGTACAGTCTTCTCAGACATATGAGATTCTATTCCAAATTTCTAAATGATTCTAATGCATCTCAACTGAAAGATCCAGTGTTAGCAGCAAGGAACCCATGTCTCATCTAATCCGGCATCAACAACACGGTCAAATCGATTGTTGCGAGCATCCATGGAGACACCCTTGTCCCTGCTCTTTGATAATGACAACATTTGACACATGACTCGATCTTCGTCGAATGTAGCATCAACTTTGAGTCTAACCATACCTGAATGTCATGTTTGGCAAGTGATGCAGTGCATATTTGTCATCCATCGGAAATATTTCACATTGCCTTCAATTTTTAACTTCGACATTGTAGCTGCTGCTAGCATGATGCAGCAATGGAATATATCCTTCCGACGAAATTGAGTGTCACACAGTCTTATAGCCATCCGAGCTTCTATTCCATGTGATTCTAATGTATCTTAACTTAAAGATCTAGTTGCAGCAGGTAGGAGTGCCACATGTTTTGTGGTTCCATTTGGATCTTCAATGTTTTCAGAGGAAATCCTCGCTGCTAAATACCTACCTACTTTCTCCTTTGATATCGAGGAGGATATCTCAGTCTCAGTTCATAATTTTCTGTTCTCCAGCAACCTTCAGCTAATTTTCAGTCTACCACTGACGATACAAGCGAGAGAGGAAATACGGCAAGTTCAGGTTGTCTCTGAAAGTGTTAACTGACAGGGCAGCGGCTCGGATGAGCGGATTTGTATGTGGGGGTCCTCCAAATATTCTTGTTCCCGGTTGTAGAGATGTTCTTCAGAGAACTGGCCTTCGGTTGGATTTCACAGACAAGTGCACCATGAAGCATGAATTATTCTTCTGGCTGCTCTTGGCTCGCAAGATGCCAAATCCAACTGCGAGCTAGCCTTGTTCATGGACGTTTTCTCTTTAGGTGCCTGAAACAGATCTGTGTGCATGATCTTTCCATGTGCATCAAGACATAAAACATTTTCTCTAGAAAACTATTATCATTTCTTAACTAATGAGTCAATGTTTATCCACTAAAAGATTCGCATAATTTAAATCACTATATTTTTTGTATATTGAGTGGCAATGCACGGGCATTCAACTAGTGAAACTGTAAAAGCAGACCCGTAAACTTGGCAAGGCGTAGAACCGATATATTCCTTCCTTCACCTAAAGTGGCAGCGGCTAGGGTGAAGCTTCGTTCCCTACAGCCTACGTCGGCTATGGACTCGCCTCCCCTCTATATGTCGCTCTGTGTCACAGCCTGACATGCTGATGGAGCTGTTACTTAGGTTGGGCTTGGAGGTCGGGTGCGGCCCATACGGAGAAAAAAACTGGGCAATATACAGGGAGACAAGAGACTGTAGACCGGACATAGTTTCAGTAATTCGTGTATCTGGTTGTAACCTGAACACTTTCCCAATCTTACTTGCTACTCCTCCTCTTCCAAACTCCTCTAAATCCATGTATCTGTCGCTAGTTCTTCTGAGATAATTGAGGAGTGGCTACATATGTGATTGATTGGCCCTTGCCATCAATCAGGATCGTTACCCTATGGTGGCTGGTGTCAGAGACGGGAGTCCCGGTGCCATGGAAGGATTTATAGAATACATGATGAACAACTTTTATACGCTATGCACCTTTTTCTAAATACATGGAATGTTTTAAAAATACCCACAAATTTTTTTATAAGAAAAGATTCAAGAATATTCAATTTTTTTGATATTCTTGGATTTTATAAAACTATATGTAAATTTAAAATGTTCACACAAGTTAAAAGTGTTCATAAATTTTTAAAATGTTAATTTTCTTAAAATTAGTATGACCAAATTTCTAAAAACTAACGAATTTACTATTTCATGTACTATTAAGGTGTTCGGAAATTTTAAAAATTATTTGTGATTTTGTAAATGTTCGTGATTTCTGTTTATGTATTAGAAAGAAGAGATAGCAGAAAAGAAGACTAGAAAGAGAAAAAAGTAAGAAAAACATAGGAAAGGAAAGAACAAACTACAATTAGATGGTAAAAAATCTGATGACAGACTGAAGAAAAAATAAAACAGAAAAATAAAAATGTCCAAAAATTCATAGAAAAACTACTAAGAAACCTAGAAGAAACATCATTACATTGGCCGGCCCATGTGCTTGCCTGTTGATATCTCTTTTTGAGTCATCATCAAAATTTCTGGCTGCCCTGTCTTGTTCATCATGTTTTTGGTATCTGAGTGACCTCACTATTGTTTATTGATTATTCAGTACTGGATTCCAAGTTTTTAGTTGATCCCGAGTTTAATAGACTACATATTGTGAGCTGCTTTTCCAATCTCAATAATTCTGTGTTTCATGTTTCTGTCGGGTTGTTCTTTCAAGCCATTCTCAGTTTCCGCTGCAAGTTTTCGAGTTCCCTCTCGTGATCATTTTGACTTCTACTTGAGTGACCTCGCCATTTATGTCATCGATGCAGCTTGTAGTGAGCAATTTAATGTAAAGGCAACATCAGAGAAGGAAGCCAAAATTTACTGATTTTATAAGAAGTACTTGCCAGAATTTTCTGTTACGGGATAGAGATTGAGTTTTGGAAGCACAAATATCTCTTGGGGTACCATTGAAACTTCAGTACATGTATCAATTATGTTCGTTGGCTCCTATGTAATGTAGGAACCTAGACTAGATTGTTCCGCTAGACCATGAACCTGACAAGCGGTTGCAACAATTGCAGTAATTCCATCATTTAATGTCCTGACTATTTCCATTGACTTGTCAGTAATTCAGGTTTTGGTGAGCAATTAGCTGTAAAGGCAACCACAAATGAAGGTTGAAATCTACTGATTGGGTTAAGACGTACCTGACGGATGTTTCTGTTGCTGGCCTGGAGGATACTGCTGCTGCTAATCCATGAAAACTTGAGAATGGCACTTGGCCTGGAGGATACTGCTGCTGCTAATCCATGAACCTGATAGCTGCTGCAATAATTTGATAGAATTTTCGGACATGAACCATGTGTAACACTAGGGCATCTAGACCAAATGTAATCTTTTTGAAACCTGAAGTTAAGTACTTGACCATCTAAGGTCCCGCCCGTCATATAATGGCTGTGCATTTGGAATTACTGTTGGTGTTCCCAAATTATTTCCTCTTGAGCAACATTTCTCTTTAGAGGTTGACAATCTATGTGAATCTATGAGTATCCTGGTGACTGTACCAGCAAAATCTTTCTACGAGAGTGTCAATTTCAGGATTGTTAAACCCCACCAGGGCAAAGCTTTTGGTCTATTCCAGTCCTCCCTAAGATGCATCTTTTCCTGTGGCTTGTTGCACAAAACAAATGCCTCACTGTAATGAACTAGAAAATGTTTAGCACACTTACTCTTAACGTATTGTGGGCCTGTGGCTAGACTCGCTTGGCAATCGGTACCTGACATGTTTGAGATTCCTGGCCCTGTAGAATAATCCTTGGATTAGTGGCGGAATATATCATGAATGATATGCTACTCGTAACACTCTGAGTGCCTCATTTTATTGGCTATTTGGACCTTAAGAAATAGTGAGATCCCAATCGGAGTATTTGGACATAATGCTAAGATAACAACTCGACAATGAAGGGGGCAAATAAAACAATTAAAATTAAATTATTTTTGTCAACAAAGCTGTGCACGAATGCTTTCATAGTTGTAGAACATCGAAGTATGCAGTGCATGAAGTTGAAAATAGAAACTAAAACGGATGAATCACAAAGTGCTACTGAATGTTGGAACCCAAGCCGCCAAATTCATCTCATAGGGCATATTCCCGGTCGGGTACTCTTCCCCACGATCTGAGAACCAGCGCACGATCTTCATGGACTGCAGGTTGAGCCAGAAATATCCGACAGTTGACATGTTGATGAGCACCTTAATGAGCACGGTGCCACTCCTCTCGGCGAACCACAATAGTTTTATTTCATGCTTGACTTCCCACTGGCTCGGCGGCGGCCTGCTTCCGCCCTCCTCATCTAGGAACTGCAAGATTGTCTCTGTCTCGATCACCACCCTTGGTCGTCGCTGCCACTTGCCCGTTTGCTTTGCTTGCGCCCACACAGATATCTTGTCGCCATCTGTGACGAGCACAATCGGGCACCCACCTGCCGACGATGTCGCCAGGATTTGGCGGCACCACCCACCACAGGGGAAGTTCTCCGGGAGCATCATGACCGTGACTTGTTCACCGAATCTAACTTGGAGCTTGAGGACGTAGTCCCCTTTGTCGGTCAAGACCAACCAGTGTGCATCGTCACCAACGACTAGGGCCCTGGCCAGTGGTCGTTGCAACTTGCTGCCTTGGAGTTTATGAACTCGGATCTTGTTGTAGCGGCCCCATGCGCCATGCTCGGATGAGAAGATTTGAAAGTGCATGTTGCGGCAGTGTTGTGACAGCTCTAGGTATGCCATGACCACATGGAATTGCCGGCCGACGACGGTCGCACCCTCATCATCATCGTCACCCACGAGCAACACATAATTTGTCGTATCATCGTGTTGTTGTGTAGCCACCACATCCACAGGGAAAGTCGGTGCAGATGGCAGGCTCTGGCTGCTGCTGGTGGCCGGATCCCACACGCAAAGCCCTCGGGCCACGCGAGTGAGAACGAGGCCATTGCTCGACGCGAGGGGGAAGCCGCGGACGCCGGTGACCCTCCGCCGCGTGGCGGTGTCCACAGCAGTGGTGTCCACCAGGGACAACTGGTCCTTGCGTCGCATGCCATCATACTTGTACGTGTGGATCAGGTGGCCTCGCAGAAGGGAGAGCACGAAGCGGTCGCTATGCCGGAAGTGGAGGCGGCCACCGAGGCTAGTGTAATCTTTGACGCGGCGGCGCATGTCCACGCACGTCGCGGCGCAGCACACTAGAGTGGCCGGGTCGGTGCGCACCGCGATCTCCATCAGCACGTCCAACGGCACCGACGCTGCCGTCTGCCGCCGCCCTCTTGCAGCTTGCATTCGGGGCCTGGCACCGCCACCGCCGTCGCCTGCCATGGTTGATGGGAGGCTCTAGGAGGGAGCTCAGTCCGGGGTAAGACCCCAAGATCCGATCGACGTGGTATGTAATTACCCTTTAGGATCAGTTTTCGTGGTTTGCACGTTGCCTAGTCCCGGGATTAACTCTAGCAGTTATCGAGTCACCTCTACGTGGTATAAGGGTAATACTTTCAAACAAAAAAATATAGGATGAGATTTGAGCGCAACTTCAATAGAAGTCTATTTTTAGGAGAAAAAAAAACATGGAGTGAAAAAAATTGGGCACAAAAATGTGTTCTTTTGACACGAGCAAGCGTCGTCTCCAACAACAGCCCTAAAATAGGGTACCCAGATCAAAAAAAAACCAATACTTTTTAACTAACATTTGAACTACTTTGACCATATTTCATATTTCAAACAAAAATCGTCCGAAGTATAAACATGCAAACTACAAACATTATTTAAATACTACATGCCACTTAAGCTACGACAAGCACTACTACGAACACTACAGATTGTCCCAGTCAATATCTTTGTACCCATCACTCTTGCTATCAGATTCCTCGTCCGTTCTCTTACAAGCCATTTTCTCCTCAGGGACTATGCCGGATCCAGTATGTATCAAACCTACTAAATGAATGCAGATTAGAGCATCGCCTAGAAGAGGCGAGGATGTGTTGGCTTGGGGACCAGGGAAACTTGTTTTTTTTTTCTGTAAGGTCTGCGTACAAATTGGCGTTTGATGAAACCCACAGGGAAAGTGAGGCTTCCAGCAGCACATCTATTACAGGAGGTAGAAGCTGTTGGCAATTTATATGGAAGTGCGGGGTTCCCCCTACGGTCCAGAATTTTGCTTGGCGGTTGGCCACAAATGCTCTACCGACGTGGAGTAACAAGAACAAGATAGGTCTTGAGCCAACTAGTGTATGCCCTGTTTGTGGAATAGACGTGGAGGACAATTACCATCCTTTTTTTGAGATGTCAGTTCGGGCGTGACCTATATCTATCCATGTCAAAGGTATGGAGGCTCCCAGCAATTGAGTCGGTAGTCCCAAACGGCAAAGAATGGCTCCTTCATGCCTTAGCTCCCTTGAGTGATGTTGAACGAAGTATGTTGCTGTTGATATTTTGGAGAAGCTGGTACGTCCGAAATGAGATAGTCCATCATAAACCAGCCCCACTTAGGGAGATTTCCATCAGATTTCTGCAGAATTATCTGGATGCTTTGATTGGCATGAAGCTGAATAAAGACATGGATCCGGCCAAAGGTAAAACTGTCATTTCGTATGACCGGTTGCATGTTTCTTCCAGACCGACAGTTTCGGCCAGTGCTAGACTGCTAGTCTAGTTTGGAGACCGCCTGATCAAGGATGGAGTAAACTGAATGCTGACGATTCATACGTGGCGAGCGAATCCGCAGGCACCGGAATGATACTACGCAATAACAGGGGAACAATCATGTTTTCTGCCTGTAGGGCGTTATTCTCTTGCAGAGACGCATTAGAGGCGGAGCTGGGCGCATGTATGGAAGGCTTATCACTTGCGATTCAGCGGACTGATTCGCCGATCATCGTCGAGATGGACTCGAGCTTGGCTGTGTCCATGATTTTATGCGACGAGGTGGACCGCTCAGTGTGCGCTTCGTTGGTTAATGAGATTAGATTCTTAATGCGCCTTAGACAAACTTGCATTACTCATGTCTCCCGTTCTCAGAATAAAGCTAGTGATAGTTTAGCGAGGTTTGCCAGAGCTGAAGGTCGGACTATGACTTGGCTAGGGTCCGGTCCTGTGGAGACTTTGGAGATTGTCCATGATGATTGTAAGGACCTTGTGATTAAGTAATACAAGTTTGTTTCTCCCGCAAAAAAAAGGAACCGACTTTGATCACATCAGAGGATCCCACATTCTTCTTCTTCTTTCCCTGTGACGATGAAGGCACTGCCTCATCATCATTCTTGTGCTTCTCAGCGTCCCTCTTCGAGTAGAACTCCAACTGGGCTTGCACATACTACGGAAGTGCACTACCAAACACCGCCATGGCCACCTCATCACTCTATCGGATGTTATTTGGCTCGTCAACAATGATGCGAGAAGTTGGCCTAATCGGGTCTCGACTCGATCGTCACCGGCTGGCCGACAAGCTCCGCATCCACCTGAGACTTAATCTCCGAGAAATTGAGCTTCGAGCGTGGGAGACCGAGCTTCCACAAGGCAACGTCGTACGCGCAGGTGGTGAGGTCGGCCGTCGAGTATGTGTCAAGCCAGTACCTCCGGCCGGCGTGTTGAAACTCGACACCGAAGTTGCCAGCTGGTCGGCCAGCGGTGGACCCCTTTGAATCCGGCGGCACCCTTGCCCTTCGGTGGCATGGCAAGGAAGCGGCGACCCCAGGGAAAGCAAGTTGTATAAGACAAGCAGTATAATCTTGGATGCATTGATTTAATTAATTAGTGATTATTTTTGCATAAGATGATCATTAACTTTAGTTATGTATGCTAAATATGCATAAATATTTTTTTGAGTTGTACCCATGTCACATGCATATATGAATTCCTTTTGCTAAGTATGTATTCATGTATATACCACATCCATTTGGCTGAGTTGCTTGCCTTGCTTACTTTCTACAAATAAAGTTGTTTCTTATTGCAATTATGAAAAATGATTTCTATTTTCTTTGAGGACCAAGGAATCATATTTTATTTAATTTCTAGAAAAGATCAGGATGCTATTTTTTCCTTAATCTTATAAATTGTTATTGCCATCGCAAGGTGTACTACTTCAACATGCAGGCTACAAGGTGTCATGATGATTTGATGAGGTAAGGTAATCGTTGAGTCATGTTTTCAAATGCTAATGGATGGAATTTCTAATGTATGGCTGCAAAAACAAGTTGGTGATGATATCGCGATGTCTTTTTTGAGAACTGTAGGCATGGTTTGCCACGTTGGACCTTGTGAAGATTATTTTTGTTCTTTGGTTAAGATTAATTGTACGCATTCATGTTGGAAATATTAATTCTTTTTCTGATTTTAAGGCTAGACTAATGCAGAAATGGCTGAATTCTACAAACCGTGGTACTTCTTGACTTCTTGTGACCAAGCATTCCGTTCGAAAGCTGCCTAACATGCTGATGACTTGCTAAATGATGCATGTAATATTACAATTTCAGTTTCATACGAGAACTTCTCTTTAAGACAACGGCAGTTAACATTTGTTTCCGACAATTACAATAGATATCGTATATTTTGCTCTCTAAAAATGAATTATCGTGGTGTTGTTCACCTATCAATGTGCCATCTTTTCTATCAAAGAATATGCCCCATTTGTTAAGTAAATCAGATCATTAAAGTGATGGACAACTAAATATCCTGTGGAACTGAAATAATATATAGGAAACAATCCTTCCCCTTTAAAAACAGCCAACCAAATATCTGGGTAACTTCCCGACGCCGCTGAGCGCGCTTGCTCACTAGTATATATTCCATTTGTTCCCTAATATGAGACCTTTTAGCTTTTTTCTTGATTCATATGTTTCTAGACATATTTTAGCATGTATGTTGACTCATTTTAGTATGTATGTAGTCACTATTTTGAAATAGCTAAAAGATCTTATAGTACATGTATGTACGTATGTGCCGCTGCAGTGGTCAGACTTTAACATACAGAAGTTCCTTTTCAAACGTGTGTGTGTGTCCACGCATCTAGCTTTTCTTTCTTCCAGGAGAAGAATGAAAAGGGCTCCTTAGCCCACCACGAGGTCCTTCCGCTGCTGGAGCCGGCGGCTCCCCTCCGTCGGCGACCTCGGTTGTCGGTGGTGAGGGCGTGATACGTCTCCGTCGTGTCTACTTTTCCAAACACTTTTGTCCTTATTTTGGACTCTAACTTGCATGATTTGAATGGAACTAACCCGGACTGACGCTGTTTTCAGCAGAATTACCATGGTGTTATTTTTGTGCAGAAATAAAAGTTCTCGAAATGAGAAAATCAATGGAGATTATTTTTGGAATATATTAGAAATACTGGAAGAAGAATCCACGTCAGGGGGCCCACACCCTATCCACAAGGGTGGGGGGCGCGCCCCCCTGCCTAGTGGGCCCCCCTGACGCTCCACCGACCTCAAGTCCAACTCCATATATTCGTGTCTGGGGAGAAAAAAATCAGGGAGAAGGATTCATCGCGTTTTACGATACGGAGCCGCCACCAAGCCTTAAACTCTCTCGGGAGGGCTGATCTGGAGTCCTTTCGGGGCTCCGGAGAGGGGAATCCGTCGCCATCGTCATCATCAACCATCCTCCATCACCAATTTCATGATGCTCACCGCCGTGCGTGAGTAATTCCATCATAGGCTTGCTGGACGGTGATGGGTTGGATGAGATTTATCATGTAATCGAGTTAGTTTTGTTAGGGTTTGATCCCTAGTATCCACTATATTCTGAGATTGATGTTGCTATGACTTTGCTATGCTTAATGCTTGTCACTAGGGCCCGAGTGCCATGATTTCAGATCTGAACCTATTATGTTTTCATGAATATATGTGAGTTCTTGATCCTATCTTGCATGTCTATAGTCACATATTATGTGTTATGACCCGTTAACCCCGAAGTGACAATAATCAGGATGCTTATGAAGGAAATATGCCCTAGAGGCAATAATAAAGTTATTATTTATTTCCTTATATCATGATAAATGTTTATTATTCATGCTAGAATTGTATTAACCGGAAACATAATACATGTGTGAATACATAGACCAACAGAGTGTCACTAGTATGCCTCTACTTGACTAGCTCGTTAATCAAAGATGGTTATGTTTCCTGACCATGAACAAAGAGTTGTTATTTGATTAACGAGGTCACATCATTAGTTGAATGATCTGATTGACATGACCCATTCCATTAGCTTAGCACCCGATCGTTTAGTATGTTGCTATTGCTTTCTTCATGACTTATACATGTTCCTATAACTATGAGATTATGCAACTCCCGTTTACCGGAGGAATACTTTGGGTACTACCAAACGTC